TCTACATTCGGAAAGTTGTGAGATTGCATGGGGTGCCAAAGGACATTGTCTTTGATCGTGACTCGAGGTTCACCTCAAACTTTTGAAAAGCGTTGCAAAGAGCAATGGGTACTGAATTAAGATTCAGTACAGCTTATCATCCACAGACTGATGGACAGACAGAAAGGACTATACAGACTCTAGAGGATATATTGAGAGCTTGTGCCTTGGAACTAAGAGGCAACTAGGATAGCTACCTTCCTTTGGTTGAGTTTGCCTATAATAATAGTTTCCACTCCAGTATAGGGATGGCTCCCTATGAGGCACTATATGGAAGAAAATGTCGATCTCCTCTCTGTTGGGTTGAACTAAGTGAGAGAAGCATTATGGGTCCTGATATTGTGGATTAAATGATGCAAAAGATTCAAATGATAAGGCAGAAACTTCTTATGGCTTAGAGTAGGTAGAAGAGTTATACAGATAAACGGCGAAGGCCGTTGGAGTTTATGGTTGGTGACCATGTTTTTCTAAGAGTTTCAGCTGTAATGGGAATCGGGAGGTCAATCAGAGCAAAGAAATTATCTCCTCGATTCATGTGTCCATTTGAGATCCTTAGGAAAGTTGGGCCGGTTGCCTACCAAATCGCCTTGCCACCACGATTATCTGGGATTCATGATGTTTTTCATGTTTCTCAACTGAAGAAATATCAACCTGATCCATCTCATGTGATTGAACCCGAAAAGGTAGAGCTGCAAGAGAATATGACATATCCAGCAGAGCCAGAATGAATAGTGGATGTTAAAGATAAGCAATTGCGGAACAAGACTATTCGACTAGTTAAGATAGTGTGGAAAGGAATGGCTCCTGGTGATGCTACCTGAGAGACAGAAGACAAAATGAAGCAGCAATATCTTTATCTATTTCCCTAGATATGTGTTGTGATTGTTCTTGAATTTTGAGGGCAAAATTCCTTTAAAGGAGGTGAGAACTGTAACATCTTAAAACTTTAAATCTAGAAAAAATAGATTGATTAAGGGATAAATTAGTTAAAAATATGATTAATTTATTTAATTACGTTTTTGGGTGGCTAATTGGATTTTTGGGTCATATTTGGCTTTAAATTGAGATAGGATGAAAGTTAGATCAAGTCAGAAAGCATCGGGGGGAGCAAAATCAAGTTGTTGCTTGCTGCGCCGTGAGCTGCGGCTTGCATGGCATGCGCTGCGGCACATGGCACAGCAGGCAACTTAAAATTTTGGGAATCAGTAGAAAAAATCAAATTTTGTGTTAGGAAACCTAGAGCACGAAGGGGGCGACTTTGGGCATTGCTAGGGCATCAATTTGAAAGGATTTTGAAGATCATTTGAGCCTTCAAACTCTTAGGTAAGATTCCTACCCTTCTCCTTTACCTTTTCATCTCATTTTTCATGGGATTTGAAAGAATGAGAATTTGGTCTGATGAGATTAAGCCATGAGTCAACCAAAATATTAATTTAAAGTTGAATAACATATTTTGGGTCAAAATACACACCTCTTCAACATAAATATTGTTTAAAATCATTTAGGTTAGGCAGAAATGACATTAATTCACATATTTTAAAATTTTTAATTAAATCATATGTTTTATTAATATAACTTTTTTTTTAATTTTTTAACATTTAAATACATAAGTTGGCTAAAATAAAATTTAAAAATATAAAAAAATAATAAATTAGGAATTTATCATAAAGAGGGATAAATTGGTCAATCTAATTTATGTTCATTTTTAAACATTTATTAATCTTAATGAAAAGATTTAGAACTATTTAAATGAAAATTACCATAAGTAATTATTTAAAGTCATTTGAATTGAATTTAAAGGTGAAAATTAGATTACAAGCGAAAATTAATAATTTTAAAATTTTAACATACAAAATATTTATTAATAAAATTAAAAATTTTAGAATCTTTGATCAAATATTCTTAATATAATAATGTTTAAATTTAAGTAAAAAAGATGGTTTTGAAAACAACGGGAATATCTCTATAATTTTAGTAAAACTGAAGGAAGGTAAATGTAATTTTTTTTTTTTGCAGAACGTTTATTTTATACTAGTTTTTATGAGAAATTGGATAATTTTGACATAGCTCCAAGAAACATAATTCTCCTCGCTGGCTATTGTAAATTATTTAAAAAGTCATGAGAAAAATTAGGGTAATGATAGTGGGACATGAATGAGTCATATGCATTCTTCGAGTGGGACAATAACACGATCACGCCTCCAGGTCAGTTTGGCCATTGCGAAGATCATGGAGAATTGAAGTAGAAAGTTAAGGTTATTTTGGTCATTCTGCGTGAAACCGACGTGCGGGGTTTGGTATGGACGGCGCACTGTTAGGTAAGTGTTGCCTTGGAAGATTAGTAAGAGAGGCCAGGATAAGATTACCTGTAGCGGCAAGTGTTCTTATTTTTACACTTGGGCCGGTGCTCCCCCTGACCCCCCCCCCCCCGGGCAAAAAAAACCAAGATACTTAAATTATCGTAGAGCAATCAAGGACAGCTAAAAGAATCTATTTAATATTAAATAATTTTAAAATTATGATACAATATCAAGAGATTAAAATGTAATTAATTTATAATGTCAAAAGAATTGTCCCTCAATTTTTTTTAAAAAAACTCCTTAGCCACTGTTACTCAATGAAAAGTGAAAGCAAATTTTAAAATATAATGGAACTTGTCATTTCACAAATAATTATTTATTATATTATCAATGGAGACTTGTTAAAGAAATTTAATATGAAGTAGTTTTTATAAATGTTTACCTATTTTTATGACTAAAATTTTACATGTTAAAATGTCATAAGAGCTTGTTATTTTGCTAAAATTTTCTTATTAAGTTATCAAGAGAAATTTTTAAAGTTAGTAATAAGGCTTGTCATTTCAAAAATAGTCATTTGTTAAATTATCAATAAAGACTTGTTAAAGAAATTTGATATGGAGTGATTTTTATAATTGTCTACTTGTTTTTATTACTAAAATTTTACATGTTAATTAAAAGCTCACAAGAACTTATTATTTTGCTAAATTTTTTTTGTCAAGTTATCAAGAAAAATTTTCAAAGATAGTAATAGGACTTATCATTTTATAAATAGTTACTTGTTAAATTGATAATGGAAACTTATCATTCTTGATAATAAAAACAAGTAAGCACTTATAAAAATTAGTGCATATTAAATTTTTTGACAAGTCCCATTAATAGTTTAATAAGTAATCATTTATAAAATGACAAGTAACCATTAAACTCCTGATAAATGTTGGCATGAAAAATAGAAACAAAGTTAAATATATATATATTTATATATATATAACTTTGCATTATATAATTAGAGGGATTTGTTAGCTTAGTTGTTGACAATTTGTTTAATAGCCAAGAAGATGTGGGTTCAAACCTCACCTTTGCCACTTAAAAAAAAAAAATAGTTTGCCTCTCTCACTGGTCCGATGATCGGCATTTTGATGGCTGAGGAGTTTCTCTTAAAAAAATGAGAGGTAATTTTGTCTTTTCATATTATAAATTAATTATATTTTAGTCCCTTGATATTGCAACATAATTTCAAAATTATTTGGTACCTGTCTGTTCCTCCAGCAATCCTTGGCTATAATTTTTCCTAGATTATATTGCCAAGCGCTTAATTTAACTAGCAAGGGAACTCTGCGTACCGGTTTTATTAGAAATCTTGAATTCAATTTTTGGAAATGTAGCAACTTTCAGTGGTAGAGCTTCTGAAAAGGGCCCCGACCCAATTCAATCCATATTAGTCTAAGTCAATTAAAGTCCCTTCAGCTTGACCTAGGGCACATCTAAGGCATCGGGTGGTAACGTCAAAAAAAAAAAATATTACAAATTATAGAGGTATCACTAATGCTAGTCAATAAGGTCATAGATTTCATATTATATTGGGCACGTTATTCACCACATCCAAACAAGTTTTGCCTTTTTAAGGTCACTCCAATGTTATGGCTAACGTATGCCACGCCGATGGACCTGTGCCACCAACCTTTTTTTTGGCAGGTACTGTATAATTAAACAGATAAATGTCCATAATTAATTTCTTGGATTTATGGATTATGTTTAGTGGAATTATTTTATTTAAAATTAATAAGTTTGAATTGTGGAAAACTTATTGCCACTTGTTCATAGAACAAAACTTTTTAGCTTAAATCGCACGACAACTTTTAATTTCCAATGATATTGTACCGATATTTTATCAGGTTTTTCAAACCTGAAAATGATTTGTTAGCCCCCATGCATAGGTTAGCCCCAAAAATTGTAGAGTTTGAGGAATGATTTGTTATTGATATTTGAACAATGTGATATAAATTTTATATTTTATATTAAAAATATCACGATCATTAACTATTTACATGTTATAAATAATGTTACAAATTTTTAAAATAAATTAAATTAAATCTTTTTTAATTTTCAAATAATAATACTGTTTATAAAGAAAAAAATCTTCAGGGTCCACCGTTCGGCAAAGAAATGTGGCTAGCATTTTAGTTCTACCTAAATGTTGCATATGTGAAACTTTTTGGTTTTTAAAAGCTGATTCCTTGCGGCATGCTCTGACGATTGCCAGGTTATATAGTCTCCAATTATTGCCATTGAAAATTGTCACTTTTGCTTTTCCCGCACCAAAGAATGTCTATGATTCACACGTAATAAATTATTCTCTTCAACACCATGTTATCGCTAACCGTGCAAGGAAATCAAAAGATCATGTCACGTCTGATATTATACAATTTTTACATTTATAGAGCAGATCATCAAAGGTTTTAATAATAAAATAAATTAGAAGCTTGACGGTAGAGCCGATCTATACAACTATTGGTCTCTTTAAGTACAAGATAATCATCTAATCTCCCATGACAAAATTTTTCATCTTGTTGACTGCGTCGGCACACAATAAATTACATTCAACCAACTTTTTGGTTTCTTTTATTTCTTTTACATTCTATTTTCCTGAAGGTTAGGCCAGGGGTGCCACACGCTTTTAATTTGTATGGTAGTCTCCTATATCATATATATATATATATATATATATATATTATAATATATTATATACATATACATAAATATGCAGAGGAACTTTAGTTTCACCGGCGGAGGAACCTCTTTGCGGTGGCTTGGAAGGGACACCGGGAGCTGACAAAACCGTCGACGAGATGGAGATAGGTGTTAAGCTCGTGACACGTGGCAACGTTGGGACTTCTGAGGTACGGAGAATGCCTGCTACTTAATCTGAGCTCCTTCCCCACCTCCGCGTACACCCACTGTGCATCCTCTGCCCGCTTCTGAATCCAGCTCGGGAGTCCCGCCACGTTGACGTTCTCATTGTCCGCCACGTCATCAGAAAAGATATTATTATTACTATTTCCCTCTCGCTCTTTCTTATCAAATACAAATCCTGGTACCTTCGTGATCACATCGTCTGAGTTCACTATACGTAAAATCTTCGTCCCTTGGCTCTCTAGCTTCTCCCTAAAGCTCCAGTTACCCACTCGTGGCCCTCCGAAAGATATCACCGTCACCATCGGCGGCCGGTCGAAACTCGTCTGTATGTCGTAAGCCGTGAGGGTGGCCAGCGCCGCCCCCAGGCTGTGTCCGGTGATCGTTAAGCTTAGCGGCTCGTCACCGTAGGTTTGGAGAATCCGGCGGATCTCCTGATGCACCATCTCTTGAAGGCTCAAGCAGGACGGTGTCGAAGAAGTGTATAAACTCAAGAATCCACTTTCAACCATGGCTTCACTGTTACGAGGAAGGTGGGTGAGAGCGGCACGCAAATTCTCGAGCCATTCCAAGCATGTGGTTGTTCCTCTGTATGCTATGACCACATCACGCCGACCAAGTCGTTTTATCTCTTCCTTGTTATCACAGACTGCCACGTAGCCAATATAGCTAGACTGAGTAGCAACCCAGGACGGTGCCTTTTCGATCCATCGAGGTAACTGAATGCCCGAGGTTGCACGTAGGTGCTTCGTAACCTTGTACCCTGTACTCGGCAACCCGCAACCATCAAAGAGCCTGTTCTTTGGGTATTTACAAGTAGCGTAGGAAGACGAAGAAGGGTCGAACTCGAAGGACTTATATGTAGCCTCAACAAAATGCCCATACCGGAGAATCTCCGATCGCAGATTCTCGTCTAATGGGTCCAGCATGCCCTCCCAGTCGCTGTATCCTTGGTACTCCATCCACCTCTTCCGAAGCTTCTCCGGTCTAATGTCAAACCGCGACGACGAAGAGGACGAGAGTTTAGTATGGCCATCATTGGGATTCATCAATTTCTCCAAGTTTCTTACCACCTCGGACAGAGACAAGGTGTTGTTGGGTTTGGTCTGTTCATGTGTGAAGGATATGCACATCGGTTTTAGGACATGGCTGCTTGAGGTTGTTGCTGTAGCAGGAGGGATTTTCGGAGGTCTCATAGCGAGCCTCATTGTGTTGTGGGTACGTAGTCTGGAAAACGAAGACAGAGATATAGAGAGAGAGAGAAAGAGAGGGAGAGAGGGAGGAGGAGGAGGAGGAGAAGGTTCGTATATGGTTGAGTACAACTGTGTTTGTGTTGTTATTGGTGTGATGGGAAGAATTTGGCGGATGGGCCTTTTATAATGGGAAAAAGTTAATTAAGTGAAACTAATACTGTTGATGGCAGGTTGCTTCTAATAATAAGAAGAGTGACAATTAGGTCCTAAATATTAAATTAATAACATTTAAATTCTTAATAAAATTTTTTTAAAAATAAATTATAAATATTAATTTAAACGATTGTAAATAAAAATTTCTATTACAATTTAATAGTTGTATTTGATATTTAATTTATTTACAATTAAAACTTTTAAATTTATAATTATCTAGATCATTATTTTTAACTAATTTTTTAAATAATATATAAAAAATTGAATTATTATTAATTTAAAGTTTTAATACTTAACTGTCATTCTCCATTAGTAAGTGGAGCTTCATTTCGTCGTCAGAGAGAGAGAGAGAGAGAGAGAGAGAGAGAGAGCTAATTGGCTATATAGGTAGGGGCTGAGTTGGGTGGGGACGAAGATTTTTAACAGGAAAAACTGCAGTAGGGGTCCGAAGAAGGAAACAAGATATGGACATGACTGTTCAGATTTGGATCCAACGATGATGGATTGATCAACGTCACGCAGTGTTTAATTCGAGCTCAGAAAATAAAACAAGAAAAAAAAAAACAAAAGAAAAAGAAGCGCCCTTTCCGACTGCATAAGGTCACGTTGATACATTAAAGAGGTACTAACGGCTCGGCTCGGCTCGGTCGGCTCAAGCCAGTATATAACGAAGTAATTTGATTATGGTCAGACTTCAGAGAAGGGATAGGAAACATATGGGAGCACGACACTTGTTTGGCCAAACTAGGCAGTGAGATATATATATATATATATATATAAACTGGTTGTGTGAAAAAATGGTTTGTGTGCGGATCGATGAGGCAAAATAAACGAGTAAGAAAAAGTATTTTTAGTTTTACATGTCAAACTCATGTTTTGTTATATCCTTTTGCAAGCACGTTCCTTGATATAATTATGGCATACACTTTTCTTCTTTTGTTACCAACAAAATGAGGATATAAGCACAACTTGTAACATCAAATGCCATTCATTGAGTATAATTTTAGAGATTAAAGTCGAATGCTTTATAAAAGCTTCAAAGTGATGATCAAGTTTTAATTTGTCATCTATATCCTAAACTTCTATAAAAAGAAAATGTCTTCTATATGATGTTAGCGTAATTTTATTTACACATAAAGAAGGAAGTTTTAAGACGTTTATATGCAGACAATTGACACACACACACACACACACACAACACTTGTAAAATGGATAATCAGATAAATTAATTTCCCTAGTATATATAAATGAAATGAGGAACTGTTTTTATGATAAGAGAAATTATCAAATAAACTTTATGGTACATCACGTATATGTTTCTACGAGAAATTTCAAAATATATAGTATGTGAGGACGTTTCTAGCAGATAACGAAGAAATTTTAACAATTAATCCATTTTACCCTAAAAATGTTAATTTTATTGAACATTTCTTTAGTCCATCTATCCTTCATTTCATTCAATTAATGTACATCCTTGTAGAACTGTTTGAATTCTGGAGTGAAAATATAACTTATACTCCCTTCATTGAAAATACAAAGTATTTTTAATTAAATTTTATCCCTTAATAAAGCAGTTATTTATTTTTAAACTAACTCTTTCTTTTCATTTTTACCTCTATAAACACCCTAAAATAAATATAAAATAATTTATTTAATAGGGACATTTTTTAAAAAAAGGTAATGATTATATTTCAACAGATTAAAAATACCTTACATTTTTGAATATCTAATCTTTAAAAAAATACCTTATATTTTTTAACTGAGGGAGTATTTCGTTTTGCTTTTTATTAGGCACCACAAAATTCTGTGATTCGGTGGCTATTGAGTAGTTGCTATAACGTAAAAGACGCAAAATCCTTAATACGATATGGTGCGACAAAAAAAAAAAAAAATCAAACAGATCAGTAAAATGTATCATCTTTCTTGAAAAGTTATATAATTTTTAATATACATAGATAATAGTAATGATATACGAATAAATGCTATTATTTTTATATTGTTTAAACTAATATTAAAATCACGCTTAAAGTTGTGAATTTTTTAACTTCTAATTATTCACTTGATTTTTGTATATTACGAAGAGTAAGAGGAAAGACCGGCGCTAGTTTGTGACCTTTGAATGGCACATATTATATATATATATATAGTTTGTATTATATATTGATATTTCATGTCAGGAAGCTTAATCACGTAACATCTGTTGAATATTCTTATTTATATGATAATAAAATATGAGGAAAATGTTATTTTACAGGGATTAATTTTATATCGACAAACATTAAGATCAAGGGATACAAGGGGCTCACAATGAAGACTTAGATCTTTTAGTTTATTTTATTGTTAGTATCTCTTGTACATGGGTAGTTGAGCGCTTTGCATTTACATAAAATTTGTACGTATTTAAAAAACCACACTATTGTAGCCAGGACTTTTTACATTATTTATGGAGGGCTTTTTACGTGGCTACAGGAAGGGACTTAGTTTCAAGTATAGTGAAAAGTTGGCTTATCTATGTCGCTCTTTTTTTTTTAAACGAAAAAGAAAAAGAAAAAGAAAAAGTGGCATCGAGATTTGATTATCTTTATTACAAGTTGATGTACAGGCATACTCGTACTCTTATTTTTTAAAGGTCAACCTCCGCGAATGTATTGTGGCTCTCAGATGGCGAGCAACCAATACATATTTACGTCACTTTTTGATAAAAGAATATAACGTAGAAAGTCAAATTCGTAAAATACATATATATATATATATATATATTTGGTATCTTCTTTAATTTAGAACTTGCAATAATTCAATATATACACAACAAACTCTGTAGCATACAAAATATGCCAGACATGTTAGATTATTACCAAAACTATTATTAATATTCACAAATTATAATTAGCAACACAATAAACACTACTGCAGAAAAGGCATTATTTGATGCCGCATATATATTTGACTATTTGTGGGACATTATTGAAGAAAGGGCGCGATAAAGAAGGTGGGATTTGGGGTGAAATATATTTGACAGTTATTTAGAGTGATTGTCAAATAATTGAAACAAATTGATGTAAAATAGGAAGGGAAAGGGAAAGGGAAAAGAATAGAGAAAGATTTACAAAGAGCGTAGATAGAATTTAGAGAGAAGAGAGCAATTCAAAGGAGAGGCAATATGGTAACAAATATTTTTTAATAATAGGCATGTTTATTTTTTTATTTCTATAATAATTGAAACAATTATTTTTTTAATAGGCATGTTTAGAAATTACATGAGTTAAGGCACTATTTATAAACCTCAACTTTAACCATAAAAATAAATGTGAGAATATTATAGAAATCCTAAAATTAAATGAAAATATTCTAAAAAGATAATAATTTAGAAAATATTTAAAATATTACAATAAGGTAAAATAACAACTAAGGACCTCATAAGAATATTAATGACAATTATAGACCCTGAGTTATTGAAATTCCAACAATATACAATGGTCCTTACTTGCAATTAAAAAATATGAATAGTTAGTCAGCTAGAAAATCTATTAAATACACTTGAGATTGTTTATAACATCAGTTGAAAATTTAAAAGAGTCAGTTGTAAATATCTCAATTATTTACTTTCAATATTTAGATAAACACTTAAAAAAATCAAGTAAATACACTTGGGAGTATTTGCAACGTTAGTTGAAAATTATGAGAATCAGTTGTGAATTGCAAGTTAATTGCTTGTAATTTTTTTGTATCAATGTATGGATAAATTGCTTAGGAAATCTATTAAATATACTCGAAATTATTTGAAATGTTAGTTGGAAATTTATAAGAGTTAATTGTAAATCATTAGCCAATCACTTGTGATTTTTTGCTATCGTTTGAAAAATTAAAAAAAAAAAGTAGTTGGAAATCTTTGTAGGTTTAGTTAGGAATTTACTAAATTTTGTTGTGAATCTTAAGCTAATTAATAAAAGATAATTCATTGCAAGTAAAGATTATGGTCAGTTTTTGAAATTTCAATAAGTCAAGATCTATAATTGTCATTAACATTCTTATGGGGTCATTAATTGTCATTTCCCCCAACAACAGTCTTAAATAAATGCAAAATTATAGTAATTAAAATGAGATATGCCTCAATCATGAAATCCATCTTCAATATCATCTGGCAAGTCTCCAATATTGGGTTTTCATATTCCCGTCATTTCTCTTTAGCTTGAAGAACTTTCCTCTCGAGAGTAAATTGCTTAGGAAAAAAAATGAGATTAAGAGATTCCAAGTTGCGTCTCTATTTAGAGGCCTTTTTTAGCAAATCAGATACTAATAAATGACATCAAATGAACAATAAATAATTTGAGCATGTAAAATCATAATATTACAAGTCTAGAAATCATTTCCAACAAACAAGATGACAATGGAGAGGACCATGTGATTCAAGAATAACTTGTTCATCTACAACTTCAATAACTTCATCACTAGAAGGCATAGTACACAAGCAAGGTAGAACAAGAATTAGATAAAGTGTGTGTTTGATTTTCCATTGATCAAAAATCAGTTTATCAAAAGTTCATTTGAGAAGTCAACTTAATGAAAGTCAATTGTTGTAATAAAATTTATTTTTGAATCCTTTTTTTTTAAAAGTTAGTTTGGTAAACTAAAAGTTGTTTGGATTATATATAATAAAATATACTTTTAAATATACAATTATAAAAAGTGACATTAATTTATGATGACTTACAATTTTTGTTATACAAATGTAATATATTAGAAATATTTAAAAATGGGATAAAAATTTAATAATATAAATTTGATATGTTAAAAAATCAAAA